GTGCGCTGAAGGGTTTTAGGGGTGAAAACTACCCCTAATTGTCAAAAATTATAAAATAACATAATAAACCTGAATATGGGTAAGATTTGGTTTGAATTAGTTAAATAATGACTATTTTATACTCTTGAATAGAGTTCCATCATATTTCAACCCTTAAAAAGCAACCCTTGTTAGAGATTAATGTAAAAAAATTACTAATTCTAAAAAAATGATTTCGCCTTGGATCGATTTGGATAAAAATTTGGATTTAAGCTCAATTCACCCGCTGCTTTATAGTTTATGTCATGTCGACGAACCCTGATTGTTCTTAGGGGTCAAAACTACCCCTAATTGTCAAAAATTATAAAATAACATATTAAACCTGAAAATGGGTAAAATTTGGTTTGAATTAATTAAATAATGATAGTTTCGTGCTTTTGAATAAAGTTCCATCATATTTCAACCCTTAAAAAGCGACCCTTATTAGAGAATAATATAGAAAAATTAGTAATGCGAAGAAAATGATTTCACCTTGGAACGATTTGCATAAAAATTTGGAATTAAGCTCAACTCACCATCTGCTTTATAGTTTATGTCATGCCGATGAACCCTGATTGTTTTTAGGGCTGAAAACTACCCCTAATTTTCAAAAATTGTAAAATAATATTACAAATCTTAAGATGAGTGAAATTTGGTTTGGATTAGTTAAATAGTGATTTTTTTATACTTTAAAATACAAATTCATACATTTTCAAAGCTTCAAAATCAATTGTTATGAGTGCTATAGGTGAAAACAATTTTTTGCCAAAATTTTGCAACTTTTTAACTTTTGAAAATCACTCTTTATAACATTGCAGTTTTTATAAACTAATTTATAAGATATAAATTGAAAAAAGTAGAATTAAATACAAAAAAATTTATCAACATAAAAAGGCACCATAATTATATTCTTATACATTTACATAAATAGTTGAAAATATTATAGTTTATTCGTCTTCCGGGTTTGGACCGTGTCATTTGTGAGTGACCCAAAAGTGGGTTCATCTCGACGTTTCGCTACAATTGTTTGTAGCTTCTTCAGGAGAACAAAGAAAGAAAAAGAAAAAGAAAGAAAGAAGAAACAAAAGAACAGGAAGATGGGTAGTTAGCAACGGTAACTCAGTTACTCAACGCAACCAGAGGCGAATACTAACTACCAAGATGGGCATTTGGTCACAGTAACTCAACTACTCAACGCAGCCAGAGGTGAAAACCAAATGCCAGGACAGGGATTCACGTCCAACAGCTCAGAACACTAACGCGTCGAGAGGCGGGGAGTGAATCCGACGATTACTCCGCTACCGCTCTATTTATAGTCGCAGTGCCTGTCGTGTCGGGACGTATCGGCACACTTCGTGGCGCGAACGTCAAGAAGCGCGCGCTGGCCAATCATGTGGCTGCATCATGGTGGCGGGACCGGACGGCGGTTCTAGACTGAGATTCCAGATGGGAGACAAGTAGTAACCTTCCTCTCGATTGATATTATGGGGATTTTTTCGGATCTCTAGAGATTCGCGGATTTTCCTGGAATAAAAGAAAATCCTGGAATAAAAGAAACTCTTTTATTCCAGGAAAATCCGCGAATCTCTAGAGATCCGAAAAAATCCCCATAATATCAATCGAGAGGAAGGTTACTACTTGTCTCCCATCTGGAATCTCAGTCTAGAACCGCCGTCCGGTCCCGCCACCATGATGCAGCCACATGATTGGCCAGCGCGCGCTTCTTGACGTTCGCGCCACGAAGTGTGCCGATACGTCCCGACACGACAGGCACTGCGACTATAAATAGAGCGGTAGCGGAGTAATCGTCGGATTCACTCCCCGCCTCTCGACGCGTTAGTGTTCTGAGCTGTTGGACGTGAATCCCTGTCCTGGCATTTGGTTTTCACCTCTGGCTGCGTTGAGTAGTTGAGTTACTGTGACCAAATGCCCATCTTGGTAGTTAGTATTCGCCTCTGGTTGCGTTGAGTAACTGAGTTACCGTTGCTAACTACCCATCTTCCTGTTCTTTTGTTTCTTCTTTCTTTCTTTTTCTTTTTCTTTCTTTGTTCTCCTGAAGAAGCTACATACAATTGTAGCGAAACGTCGAGATGAACCCACTTTTGGGTCACTCACAAATGACACGGTCCAAACCCGGAAGACGAATAAACTATAATTCTGACTCTGGCCGTGGAAGCCTACGATTTCAGTTGAAAATATTTACATTTATAGGTAAAACAATTATAATATTAATTTTATTCGTCATCAATTACATCTTCATCGTGATCTATGTCATCCTCATCTTCTTCAATTATTGGTGGACTGTTATTGCACCCTTCACCTGAGCACCCAGAAGGTGTAGTAGAGTATAGTAGAGTAGAGTATAGTAGAGTTACAGTATACAACTTTTCTGCACCCACATGAAACGCCCATCCTTTTTTGCATTGGCAAAAAGTAATTTTCAAAAGTTCATCGGGTGCAGGTTGTTTGTTCATGCGTCCGGGTAATAACAAACCATCTTTGGAATACCATCCCCAATCTGTTGCTCTGATATTTTTATTGCCAAGCCATAGACACATGAGCAGATGTTTTATTCTGTTGTATGGGATTTCAAAATAAGAACGCTTACAATTTCGAATGTATAACGCCCCACTAGCTAATATACCGGTTTTGTAGATTATTATGCTCCGAAATGTACTGTACTATACTAATGGAATTTTCCGGAAAAAAATTAACTGGTTTTTTTAACGTATTTCCTTTAATTTTTAACGATAGAGTGTTTCTTTAAAAACGATTTGTAGAGGTTTTTAAGAGCTACAAGGATCTGTGAATTAAATCTTTTTGGAACTCTTGGTTTTTAAATGGGGTGAGTTTGAAGGGCCCGAAAAAGACGATGCTTGATCGTAAATCGATGCTTTAAACGACTATATCTCGCCAAATATTCATTGTACAACAAATCCAAATAAAGGATAATTTTAGTCATTAAAAAGCTACAATTTGGTAATTTTTATTTTTTTCATATATTCAGTATTTTCGGGCATATTTAAAAAAAGAAGGGTAAAAAATATAAAATTGTAAATCGTTTCTCGCTTTAAGCTGTACTTTTTCTAAAACTTAGCATTTTAAATGGGTCAAACTTCTTGGACGTATTAACAATACATGTACAAAGGGAATTGCAGAAGGGTGAAGATCGATTTTAATTATGGGGGTGGTTAGGGGGTTGTTTTCATCGATTTTTTCGTAAAAAATGAGGTATTGACCTTATTTTCATCATAACTCACTCAATTTTTGAGCTAGAGTCTTTTTTTATGATAGGTCTGTTTATGCTCTTTAAAAAAGGTTTTGTAAGTTTTCTTCCAAAAATACATCATTTTCCCGATATCTGACTTTAAATCTTTCAAATTTGGCATTTGAAGAAAACCGCTGAACATTGATAGGCCGTATTTCGGTTCCTTTTATATCGCAAAAACATTTTAAAAAATGAATTGTATTTTTCTTTTTAAAAGCTACAAATTTGTTCTCTACAATTTTTTTGATAAAATGCACCATTTTCGAGTTATTCGCGAGAAATCGATTAAAAACGTGGATTTTTTCGTCTAAAAGTTGTTACTTTCAATCGTGAATAACTTGAAAAATATCATTTTATAAAAAAAATGTATAGCACATTTTTTGTCTAGAATCACTTTTTTAATCGAAACCTGTAGTTAAAACGTAAAAAAAATTTTCACCCCGGAGATGGGGTGGCAACCACCCCCTAGGCTTTGGCGCACTTTGGTTCGATATAGATTCTGATCCTTAGGCTATTACCTACCTTCTATTAAATTTCAAGTCAACCCACGCAGCACGAAAAAATTGCGTGGTGAAATGCTTCATTTTCTGGACTATAACTGGTTTGACAGCGTATTAAAATCGTAGATTTATGTGTAGTTTTTAATTTTAGTTCAGAATCCAGCAGGCCGCTGAAGTATTGGATTTTTATAATATAATTATTTGACAATCTTTTGTTGGCCAACCACCTACAGCAGAATTGAGCCGAAATACATTATATTCCTATGTTCCGAATTTATTTCGTTCAATCTGTATATATATATATATATATATATATATATATATATATATATATATATACATATTATATCATGGAAGAAAGGGAAATTGCATCATATAAAATGCAAAGATATCAAAAGTAATTAGAATAGTTAGGTACTAATGGCCAACAGAGCAATGTAAGGAAATACTGTAACTTTTACTGTAACATAGATTGTTAACGATCAATAAGTCTACTATTATTTGGCAAACAGGTATTTAGAATTGTCCGATTGTAGATATGTTAAATATTTTTTTAGGTTTTAAAGCCAAGACATTCTTCTTCTCTCTTGCATTTTTCACCCACAAACCTTGTCCTAAAGAACGAGTTGCAACAAACTATATCTGAGCTTATTTCACTAGCTCTAATATTTCTTAGATATTCTTATTTTTGCTCTTTTAAAGTAAAGATAATTGTTTAATGAATGGTATCAAACATTTATTCAGCAATGTCGAATAAAAAAGAGTTAATGAATATTTACAATTAGGTGGATGTAAAATTCTTTACATGTTAAATTATTTTATCATTAAAGACAAGTCTAATATGCTTGGTATATAAAGCCCTGTAAATGTATATACAATTTTTTTCATATAACTGGTATCTTAAGAAATATAGTTAAAGTTTCAAAATATCAATATATAAAATTATCTTAAAGTGTTAAATAAAAAACGTGTCTGCTAAAAATAGAAGAGTTAAACTCATTAAAGTTAAAAAATCAATAAAGATTTTATTTAAGCAGTAAGTTGGTATAATTTTACAAATTATTGACATATATATGCCTCACCTAAATGGGTTTGAGTACATGTATTTTGTAGAGACAAAGATATTGCATGACAAAATATATTTAAAACCTACACTCAATTTTTTATTTTTCTAAACATACAAGAAATAAATATTATAAAATTTAAATACTTACCATTTGTGCGACACAAAAGCAGTGGCGAAAATTGTGAAATGGCACATCGTTGTAGTTTTTGTACGTTTCATATAAGAAGTTTCTTAAGGTTGTGATATCGATGGCGAACTTCGAACAGAGATCATGGTCCAAGTACATTTGTTGCAGAAGAAGCAAAAGTTCTTCGTCTTCCCAAGGCCGTGCGTCGAACGTTGGCATTCGAAGCCATTGTCGGATGGCGTCGGACACTTGTGCGTCACTAAAATAAATTATTTTTAATTACAATAGTTTAAAATATAATCCAAAATTTGAAAAGTGAACCCACTAGGCTTATAAATATTGTCATAATTTAATTCAACACTTTAACTAGCACTGTTAATAATCTTTGAAATCGGAATCCAATATCCATCAGAGACGATTCATCAGACGAGAAGAAACATTATTTATCACCAAGTGTCTCGAAATAGACCAGTAAAATGATATTTTACAAAGTCAGAAATTTAAAGAAAAAAACGAAAAGACTAATGTTAACCTTTTCGAGTCTGACGGGACGTATATATCCCAGTTATGAAATCATCAAGTCTCTTGGGCTAAATCTAAACCATTTTACATGAATGTTTACTATAGCCGACTTTTTAAGAAAGCTGAAAAAAAAAACCGGACAGACCATATGTAGACGATCTCGCAAAAGAAAAAAGGATATTCGATATGGATCATGGAACGTGAGAACATTGAACTCTGCAGGAGCAATGAGATGTCTCTTAGACACTCTTAACAAATATAATATGGACATAACAGCTATACAGAAGATGCGATGGAAAGGGACCGGTACTCTCTAGAAGAATCTGAATACCATATATTATAGCTGCCATCAAACTCAACATGTCTTTGGGGTAGGCTTTGTAGTTAGCAAGAGTTAATAACCTAATAATAGGTTTGACGCTATAGATCATAAAATATGTGTTCTCAGAATACGTGGCACATTCTTTAACTACAGTCTTATAAACACACATGCCCCACTGAGAATAAAACAGACACAGAAAAAGAAGAATTCTATGAGAAACTAGAACAAACATATATACAGTGTCCCAATAATGATGCTAAGTTGATTATTTGAGACATGAATGCCAAGGTAGGATAAGAGGAGATGTACAGACCAACCATAGGACTTACAGCATACACAAAGAATGTAATGATAATGGGACGATACTTGTAAATCTCGCAGCATCTCTGAACATGACGATCAGTAGTACATACTTTTAACATAAACGTATACATAAAGTGACGTGGACATCGCCAGATCATCAGACCCAAAATCAGATAGACCACGTACTGATTGATTTAAGACATGGATCAGATATACTAGACTGCAGAAATTATAGAGTTGCAAATATTGACTCCGATCACTATCGCATAGCTGGACGTCTCAGAGCACGTATATCAAACGCCAGAGACGATAAAACTAAACCAAAAACAATCAAAAATAATGTTGATAAATTAAAGTGTACTAAAGTCGTAAGAAACTTTCAAATATGCTTAGATCGTAAAATATCAGAACATTCCAGAAGTGAGGTATATCCCACTGAACTTAACATAAATTGGGAGTTTATGAAAACCACGCTCAAAGAGACCGCAGATGAAGTGCTGGGTAAAGTACCCAAAGGACAGCGAAACAACTGGTTTGATAAGGAATACCAACGAGTAACGAAAGAGAAGAACGACACGTATCTGAAAATGATCAACAGAAGGACTAGGAGCAATGTTGAAGAATACCGAGTAAAGAGACGAGAGAAAAAACAAAAACGCAAACAGAAAAAGCGGCAACAAATTAATAAAGAGTTCGAAGAAATGGGAAACCTTAACAGAAAACACGAATACAGAAAATTTTACAAACAGGTTAACACAAAAGAAAAGTTTTCAAACCACAAGCGAACCAAGTCAAGGCCCTAAACGGAATTCTTTTAAACGAGAGAGTTGAAGTACTAGAAAGATGGCAGGAACATTTTAGTACGCTACTTAATGAAGAAAGTAGAGTTGAAGGTAGATATTATATAGAAATAGAACAGAAGGATATTGAACTACCAACTTTGGAAAAAACAAACAAAGCAATTCAGTCTCTAGCCAAAAACAAGTCACCGGAGCAGACCACCTACCCGCAGAAATATTTAAATGTAGCGGTCAAACATTTGTAACACTCCTTCACAAACTACTAATACAGGTATGGCAAGAACGCACATTACCAGAAGATTGGAATACTGGAATTATATGCCCCATACACAAGAAAGGAAACGTTCTTGAATGTTCCAACTTTAGAGAGATTTCCCTTCTTATTACAGCATACAAAATTGTGTCCCTGATACTTAACGAACGACTGGCACGGTATACTGACAATATAGTAGGATCCTACCAAAAAGGCCTCTTGAAAAACAAATCTACCATTGATCTCATATCATCCATTAGACAAATATTAGAAAAAATGACGGAGTACGACATAAACTGCCATTACATGTTCGTAGACTTTAAGGCAGCGTACGATACTATTAACAGGTCCCAATTATATTCGGCGATGTTCGAATTAGGAATACCAAAAGGTTTGGTAGAATTAATTAAAATGACAATAATGGAAGTCGAATGTAAAGTGCGCGTACAACGGGATGTTTCAAAACCATTTAAAACCAACAGAGGAGTGCGACAGGAAGATACGCTATCGTGCACGCTGTTCAAAATAGCGTTAGAAAAAGTTATGAGAAGTTCGGGAATAAACTTAAAAGGTACGATATATTTTATTTGTCAGACCGTGGAGTTGAGGTGCCTACATTGTAAAAAATGTCATGCGCCCTTCCCTCCATGCTATGGCATGCTGGACGAGCCATACAGTCTGTAGTCAATACCCCGAGGTATGAGCGGGAACACAAAGTGTATTAATACTCATACGCTTATGAAACGCACCTGGCGCATCATAAGGGCCTTCACATTTCACTCTTTTTCAACTTGTCTTGAGTGAAATGTCTTTAATCTTTCCTATCGGCCTCTCTTGGCTAACTCTTGTTTCTTCCGACCCCGAATGGCTATTAGGTTTCCGAGGGCAGACGGGTCACTATATTTCCTTCTATTACACACTCTAGGAAGGCAACGGGAAACCACCTAGAGCCTAATTTTCCCAAGAAACAATCATGGAAATGGCTGATAAATACAACGGCCCCGAGTACGGGCGCTCCTTAAATGGAGCAGAAGTGCTAAGAATCTCCCGGTCAGCTAGAAACATGAACACATTTTCTAAAGAAAAAAAAATAGGTACATGGAATGTAAGAAGCATGTACGAACCAGGAAAAATTCATAACACCATTAAAGAAATGAAGCGTCTAAATATAAGTATCCTTGGAATAAGTGAAATGAGATGGCCGGGGTCTGGAAAAGTAACTGTAGATGACCACATTGTATACTATTCAGGAGAAGACAGCTCAAAACACAAAAATGGTGTAGCAATAATTGTGTCGAAGGAAACAGATGAAGCTGTAAAAAACGTCGTCCTATTCTCAGACAGGATACTGATGATACAAATACAATCAACAACAATCAATGTGAACATATTACAAGTATATGCACCCACACAAGACTATGAACAAGAAGAAATTGAAAAATTCTATCATGATTTAGAAAAAGTATTAGCACCTACAAAGAAACACGATCTCAATATTATCATGGGAGATTTTAATGCAAAGATTGGTGAAGGTGAACAGGAAGATGTCATAGGGAAATATGGTCTAGGAATACGAAATGAAAGAGGAGATATGTTGGCATCTTTTTGCGTAGAAAAGCAATTAGTAATAATGAACACAATTTTCAAACTTCCAAAACGTCGTCTTTACACCTGGAAATCACCAGCAGATACACCTGAACGAGTTTTTCGTAACCAAATAGACTTCATATGTATAAATAAGAGATACAAAAATTCAGTATTATCAGTAAAAACATATCCAGGGGCAGATGTACCAACAGATCACAATATTTTAGTAGGAAAAATAAGACTGAGATTAAAAAGAGTTGCAAGGACGAATAAGCAAACAGTTACTATTGATAGAGAAACGATGCTAAATGATACTGTAAAACAAGAAATAACTAGTATATTAGAACAAAAGATGAAGTTAACATCAAGCAAAGAAGAAAGTACTGAGGAAAACTGGACGAGAATTAAAGACATCTTAAAGACTGTTCAAGAAACAAAATTGAGTGCGCTAAAAGCAAGAAAAAAACAAGGGTGGATGACAGAAGAAATACTGAGACTTATGGATCAAAGAAGAGAAGTCAGAAATAAAGATAAAAACGAATACAAGAGGATCCACGCAATAATCAGGCAGAAGATAAGACACGCGAAAACACAATTTCATAGTAAAGAATGTAATGAAATTGAACAATATGAAAAGAAACACGATACATTTCATCTGCACAAGAAATTGAAAGAGGTCGCTGGAAACAAATGGAAACAAGTATCCCAAAGTTTAGAAGACAGAAACGGACACAGAATATTAGACATCAATGAAAAGTTAAAAGAATGGGAAAAACTACATTTCTGAATTATTTGAAGATGAGAGAGTAGAACACTATACACCGATTGCTATATCAGGTCCATCTATAACAGAAAGTGAGGTAAGACGTTCAATACAAACGGCAAAAAAATGGAAAAGCACTTGGCCCCGATGAAGTAAGTGCTGAAATACTAAAGTTTTTGGGAGAAAATGGAATTAAAGCTCTGTGTAATCTCTTTAACAGAATTTATGACACTGGGATATTACCAACTGATTGGTTAAAGTCGACATTTGTCACAATACCTAAGAAACATCGTCCAAAGACATGCGGTGATTATCGGACAATAAGTCTGATGAGTCACGTTTTGAAAATCTTTCTGCGAGTAATACACAGCAGAATTTATACGCTGTTAGAGGACAGAATTAGCAATACTCAATTTGGGTTTAGGAGTGGCTTGGGCACAAGAGAAGCCTTGTTTAGTATACAGGTGCTAGTACAGAGATGCAGAGATATAAATCAAAATGTGTATATTTGTGCAATCGATTTTGAAAAAGCTTTTGACAAAGTCCGACATAACAAAATGCTAGAAATATTGGAAACAGCTGGATTGGACGATAAAGATCTACGAATAATTAGAAATCTATACTGGCATCAAGTGGCAAGAATAAAGGTTGAACAAGAACTGTCGGATGAAATAAATATAAAAAGAGGAGTGAGACAAGGCTGTATATTGTCGCTTTTACTTTTTAACTTATATTCGGAGGAAATATTTAAGGAAGCCTTAATGGAGACAACCGAAGGTATTATTGTGAATGGAGTAACCGTCAACAATATTAGATATGCCGACGATACCTTAGTCCTTGCCAATTGCGGAGAAGACCTTCAAAATCTAATGAACAAAATAAAACAGACTTGTGATCAGTATGGATTAAAACTCAACGTTAAGAAAACTAAATATATGATAGTTAGCAAACAAAATTATATACATGATGACGGTATAAAAGTCGGAGATGCCACACTGGACAGAGTAGAGAAACTCGTCTATCTCGGCAGTAATATCAATGAGAGCTGGGATCCAACCGCAGAAATTAAAAGCCGAATAGAACAATCTTTTACATCTGATCATTCAGGGAAAGATCCAAGGTAATCGTGGTCCTGGTAGAAGAAGAACATCATGGCTGAAAAATCTAAGGCAATGGTATGGAAAATCAACTACATCGTTATTTAGAGCTGCTGTCAATAAAGTCAGAGGGAGATTGGAGTGAGGGCTGAAAAAGGCAGACACAAGGATGAAAGAATGTTTTGAAGCAGGCCAAGCCTCACGAAGGGCTGTAGCGCTAACTAATGATGATAACTTTTTAAGAACTTAAAATATTAACAGGATAATTTATGTAAGAGGCAACATTGCGAACCGTTTCCGCGCTGAATTTTCCCTTGATATTGATCTGCGGAATATGCTTATGTAGTGTTATCGATGATTACTACAGGGAAAGTTGTGAAGGCAGCACCCATGATTGCCAGCGGTATAAATTTAGAAGTCGATCCTTTTGACACTAGGGCTCCGATGATGAAGACTACAATCCATCAGGATGCGAAGGAGAAGAATAACGAGAGCGTCACAAAATAGATTCAGGATCCAAGGGAAATAAAATGGATAAAGAGAATCAGATGATAGGTAACGAAAGTGAAGAATAAAGCAGTATTCACGAAAATGAAGAATTTGAAGGTATGTAGCAACCCTGTAATTGATTTCATAACGATGGAAGTTTTTTATCACGTTTTTTTAGTTTCATGACACCAGAGTTTGCAGATGGTAAGATACTAAAGACTTGTTAACAGTAAGAAATTGTTTTAGAGATAAGAAAGTAACAGTAAAACGAACAATAAAGAATGGCCCTAAAATTAATGCTCGATGTACACGCGTTGAACTTCTCGACCAATAAGAAATTGGGCGGCGTCGATCTGGACCATATTTTGGGCTTGTATGACTTTGATCAGAAGTCTCCTAAATGGTGGAAAATAGTATTTTTTTCACTTTCCGATGTTGGCTGTTGGAAATTCTTATATACCACACAATGATCTAAAACGGAAACAAAAAACTTTTTCTTATTAGTGTAGCTGAGGGACTTATTTTATGGGAAGAAGTCATACTGTTGTTAAAAGAAAAGTCTCGACTTCACTTCCAGCAAAGAAACAACAAAAATGTTTAACGTGTATGATCATTTACCTATCACAGGAAAGACCCGTAGAAGATATCAATGATGATCTTCTCAGAAACAACCGCACTATGTCAGAGTTGCAGTGTACCCTTGTGCAAAACATAATTCTCGCCTTTTTATTTTTAATAAATATTGATCTTAGTTTTAGTCCTTTTATTCTCAAAATCTGAAATTTTATTTGTATTTTACATCACCAGTGTTAAACTTGCTGTAGAATTACAACAGAAGAGACATATGTAGAAATTGTATTTACCGAAAATATGACAATTTTATCATATGTACCTGAGAAAAATAAAAATTTATTGATGTTATCATCAATGCATTTAGAAGGCGGTTTTATTCATAAGAGAGCAGGAGACAAGAATCTTTCAAATATAGATTACATTTTACAACCAAACCAAGTCCGGCGTGAACAAGGTGAATGAGCTATGCGGTTCATATTCCACTGCCAGAACATATCGAAGATGACCGTTTGCTCTATTCTTTTAAAATTCTCGACATAGCTGGCATTAATACCCGTATTATCCACACTGCGATAATATTAGCAACAAACCAATTAAACGGAGGATTTACCTGCAAGATTTAGGGTTCGATCTTGTGAAAGATTGGTTGAAAATCAGATCAACTAACTTAGACATTCATCTCACACAACACATAAAAAGCAACAAATATATTAGAGGCTCTACTTAATCAAAAGAAACAACAAAACCGCCAGAAAAAAGGCAAGTTGCTCTATTTGTCCAAGGAAAGGTGACAAAAAATAAAATCTTTCTGTGAAAAATGTTACCAATAAATGTGCCCAAATCACAAGAAAATGAATTTTTGTGAAAAGTGTTTTGACCACAAGGAAGAAGAATACGCATGTGATGATAGTTGCTAATGAGTGTTACTTAAACTATCCTGTTTATAAACAAGTAATATCATAAATATGTAAAAATTGACTTTTTTAAAGCCACGTGGTGGCTTTAAAAAGGTCAATTGTCACATATTGTGGATTAAGTTGTTATTGCAGCCCATTACGCAAACGGTGCTACCGAAAACTGATTATGGAACTGCTTTTTGGTACAATATTAGTAAACACATGAGTACTCCATAAAATTTTGAGAACAGTGCTTTTGAAAGTTACAGTGCAGAAATAGCAGTACAACATACATACAGCGCATATTAGGGGTCAAAATAGATTAATTTACATTAGCAAAAGTATTGAAAATAAATAATACGTCCTTACCATATGTTAGCAAAATTTTGTTTAACTCGTTTTTTGACTGAGTCGCTTTTTCTTCGATATTGAAGTCGTCGGCATTCTTCGCTGGATAGAGGTTCTGGAAGCTGTTTGTAGAATCCTAGAATGAAAAAATACAATTATTAGTATCATTCATACAACTTAAAATTTATTAATTATTTTTATATTATAACAATATAAGAGGTATTATCTTGTGCGCTTACCATAGGCCAGAGAAATAAGCAAAAACCAGTACCGTGTTTCTGACACTGAACCGGCCAGATAAACAAAAGTTGTTTTAAGTTGTATGGACCTTTATAGCAAGAGCCTATATGTTTCCCGCATGCGACATTTTAGATTTAATTGGTCATTAACAAGTAAAGGTCAAAAACGGTCAGTATTTTTTTTATCAGCAAAAGTGGAGCATTTAAAACAAATTTAAAAGTAATAAACTTATAAGTCATATAAAAAACTTTAAAAAAACTTTTTTAGCCTGCAGGCTAAACTGAGCGAGGGTAGCCATATATGGTGAAAATTTCACCGACCGATTACCGGTATAAGCAATCCCACACTTGCTAATCAACGACTCTGGGCAGAAGAATATGTAGGAGGTAGGGCGCTCTTTTTGTCCTGGAGTTGAGAAATGGATGTAGAAGGCAAGGGGAAACTAATACGATAAAGATCCCCATGGATTTCCCTAGTAAAATCATCATGGTTTTAGAAACTAATAACGGCGTTACTGATCATGGCCCTCGGAAGCCAGGATTCGACAGGGGAGAAGAATATAAGGACTCTCAGGTCGGTAATTAGCGAATTCCTTGTCAAAAGAACGTAGATGATAAAATAAGACTGTTTAACACTAGAATAGGAACCTGAAATGTTTAGAGCATATTTCAGTCTGGTAAAATGCACAATGTTATTCAAGAAATGAACAGGTTAAATATCGATGTACTGAGTATGAGTAAAGCTAGGTGGCCCAACCCAGGTTGTTTTTCAACAACCGGAGCCACAATGTATTATTTTGGTAGTGAGAATAACCAACACAGACACAACGTGGCAGTAATAGTTAATAAAAAAACTAATAGAGCGGTGGAATGCTATTTCTCTATCACAGAGAGGGTAATGGTACTGAAGTTGATGACATCTCATGCAAAACTGAATTTGACACAACTTTATGCTCCTACGGCGAATTCCGATAAAGGAGAAGTTACATTATTTTACCGACATATCGAAGAGGCACTTAGAATATTGAAAACAAGATAAAAAACGATAGTCCTAGATGATCTCAATGCAAAATTTGGAAAGGGACAAAGCGGAAAGTGTATAGGAAACTATGGTCTGGGAAATCGAATCGAGAGAGGAGATCGTATGTCTGTTAGAATTCTGTCAAGAGCAGAACTTGATAATTACATATTTTTGAGGTTACCAAATACTTTTCATGCCAAACACACTATCATCATTATCATCATCATAATCATCATCAAGTTACCAAACAGACGACTGTATACATCAGAGAAAGTGGTCATAAAACAGCTAGACTACATTATGATCAATGAATGATACCATAAACCTGTTAAAGCCGTGAAAACATATCCTGGATCAGACGTGGCCTCAGATCATAATCCACTTATCGCCAAGATTAAACTCACCCTTAAAAATACTAAAAGACATCAAAGAAACTCTGGCGAGTACTGGGATCGAGTAAACCACTGTCTACTGGAAATATGTACAGAAATACTGAAGACTTCCTTAACGAGAAAAATAGAATGGATGAATAACAAGACACTCAATATGATGGAACAACGAAGACAGTTTAAAAACAAAGACAACAATTAATACAGAGATATAAACCACGAGATTAGGAAGATGATAAAGTAGGCAGAAGAAAAATACTTTGAAGAGAAACGCAAGGAGATTGTAATTTTCTTCTTCTTCAAGTGCCGTCTTCGTTCCGAAGTTTGGCTATCATCAAAGCTATGCGTATTTTTGATGCTGCAGATCTAAACAGTTGGTAATTGGTGCAATTGTACCATTCTCTCAAGTTTTTCAACCATGAATGCCTTCTTCTTCCTATAGATCTCTTTCCCATTATCTTTCCCTGTATAATCAATTGCAGCAACTGGTATTTATCTCCCCTCATAACATCCACAACTCAAATGCTTCTATCTTTTTGGTGTCGATCTTTTTCAATGTCCATGTTTCCATCCCGTAGAGGAGAACTGACATAACGTAACATCTCAAAAGGCGAATTTTAAGTTTTAGACTTAGATCTCTTCCGCAGAACACCTTTTTCAATTTAGTAAATGTGGCTCTAGCTTTCTCTATTCTGGTTCTGATTTCTTCAGAGCAGTCATTATTTTCGTTGATAAGAGTTCCCAGGTAATTATATCTTCTTACACGTTCGATTCTTTGATCATGCACGGTTATGTCAGGGAAGTTTTGTGGTGATTTAGATATTAGCATTATTTTTGTTTTGCTTATGTTAAGTGATAATCCGTGTTCTTCACTGCATTCTACTATTTTGTTAATTAGTATTTGAAGATCTTCCCAAGTTTCTGCGATTAGTACCGTGTCATCGGCATATCTCAAGTTGTTTATTCGGATGCCATTTATCTTAATACCTATATTTTGATCCGAAAGTGCTGTGTTTATAATGTCTTCGGAGTATAGATTGAATAAGGTCGGTGAGAGTATACAACCCTGTCTTACGCCTTTCTTGATCTCGATTTCCTCCGTTGTCTCTTGCTCTATTCGGATATTTGCTTTCTGGTTATAGTAAATCTTAGAGATAATTCTAATGTCCCTTTTATCCAAGTTTTTTTCTACTAGCAGTTTCATTAAGTGGTCGTGACGAACTTTATCAAACGCTTTGTTGTAATCAATAAAGCACATATATATATCTTGGTTCATATCTAGACATCTTTGGCATATGACGTTAAGTGCAAATAGTGCTTCTCTTGTTCCAAGCCCGTTCCGAAATCCGAATTGAGTATTACTAATATCTGCATCTAGTTTTCTGTTAATTCTTGAGTGGATTCCTTTGATGAATACTTTTAATGTATGCCCCATTAAGCTTATAGTGCGGTAGTCAGTGCACTGTTTTGCATTTGCCTTTTTTGGTAAGGTTACAAAAGTTGAAAGTAGCCATTCCTTTGGTATTTCTCCTCTTGTGTAGATGCAGTTAAAAAGGTCGAGTAGAATATTCACTGATTCGCCTTCCACGAGCTTAAGAAGTTCTGATATGAGCCCGTCTGGACCCGGTGATTTACCATTTTTCATTATTTTTATAGCGTATAATAGTTCTTCTTTAGTTATTTCTATATTAGGTTCTTGTCTTTCATCGTCGAACAATTCTTCTACATAGTTCTTCCTGTCCTAAGCTTTTCTTCTAGATCGGCTATTATTTCACCATTTGCTTTGCATAGGAGATTGGGATGTTTTCGTTTTTGTGTACCTGTCAGTTCCTTTATCTTTTTATGTAAGTTAAAAGTGTCATGTTTGAGATGTAGTTCTTCGATTTCCTCGAATTTTCTTGTATAAAAATTTTCCTTTGCAGTTCTTATTTATTTTCTGATTTGTTTGTTTACTTCATTATATTTTTGGCTGCATTTTCCCTTTAACTGTCTTCGCTCTTCCATGAGACCTAAAATTTTTTCTGTTATCCATTCTCGTCTATTTTTCTGTTTCTCTTTGGTAAGCATTTTCTGGGCAGGTTTTATTATGGCGTCTTTTAAATCTTGCCACTTATCTTCTACATGCGTGTTCTCTGTCTTTGTAGAAAGCATTCGTAAGTTATCATTGATATGTTGTTTTAAATCTTCTTTAATTGTTGGATCTTGTAAGCGGCTGGTATCTATGTGATCTATTTTTGTTTTATTTGAAGGTCTTTTGAGTCTAATGTGTACCCGCGCTATCAGGGGGTTATGATCTGAAGAAACATCTGCGCCTGGGTAAGCCTTAACTGATCTTATACAGTTTCTGTATCGCTCATTTATTAAAATATAATCTATCTGATTCCTAATTGTTTTTTCCCTAGTGTGTTGAGGGGACGTCCATGTGTACAGTCTTCGTTTGGGTAGCTTAAAGAATGTATTTGAAATTATCATATCATTCTCTTGACAGAACTCTAAAAGTTTGTCTCCTCTGTCGTTTCTTGCCCCTAAACCATATTCTCCCACATTTTTTCCGCTTTTTCCTTTGCCAATTTTGGAGTTGAAGTCTCCAAGGATAAGTGTAACATCTTTTGGCTTTGTAGACTTTAGAACTTAATTTATTTGTTCATAAAACTGCTCAATCTCTTCATCTGATTTATCTGCAGTAGGGGCATATACCTGTATAATATTAAGTTTTGCAGTTTTTGTATGCAGTTGTAGGAGCAGGATCCTGTCTGACACTGGCGAAAAATTAGTGACAGACTGTGTCATTCTTCTTGAAACGACAATTGCTACACCATATCTGTGATGTGGGTATTCATTTCCTGAGAAATAGATCATACCATTGCTTGTCGAGACGTTGCCTGAACCCGACCATCTTGTATCGCTGATGCCTAGGATATCGATGTTTAATCTTTGCATCTCTTGTATAACGTTGTGAATTTTCCCAGGCTCGTACATGCTTCTGACGTTCCATGTACCAATATTTATTGTATTTTTAACACAGGGATTTCGCAGAATTACGACCTGAGAGGCCCTGTTGTCATGAAGTATACCTCTCCTGCCGGATCTTGGTATCCGGTATCCATGATCTAGTACTAGAAATCATTTCGCTTCGCACAGCCATGATAATTTTACTAGAGATATCCCTTAGGATCTTTAATGCAGTGGTTTCTCCTTGCCTTCTGCATCCTTATGCCGTTGACCATTTCTTAGTTCCTCCGCCTTTGAGATCGATTTCTCAGTCTCAGGACAAAAGAGTGCCCTTCCAGTTACCAGTTCATCCGCCCGAAGCCGTTGGCCAGTAATTGATGGACTGCTTATACCGGCAATCATTCGGTGACTTGATTCTATATCAACCCTAAAATCGAGGGTTGCCACTTCCGCCATCCGCACCGTACCGAAGCTCCGCTTCTCCGCCGTGGCCGCCGTTGTGGACTTCATCCGTAACCCTGGACAAGGGACCCTAAACA